GAGCTACTCCAATGCATTTTGCAGGGTAAAATTGAAGGAAAAAATTCCCAGGACGAAGAAGAATATCCTGGCTTACTAACCTGAGAGCATGGTATAAAAAGACCTTAACCCAGCTATTTCGTATAGTAACAAACAAAATTATCATAGCCAGAATAGTTTTCTTGGGACCTCAGCCTTCTGTAGTCCTTCCGTGTTTCACAATTTTTTAAAACAGACCATAATATTCTCCCTTTTACTTGAATATAACGGAGCTACCTAGAAACATTTTATTTTCACAATTATAGTCAAGATATACCAACAGTTCATTCAAGTTATGAACTTATAATTAATCCTTTTATAGTTCTCATGTACCTAGTGTTGCTTTATAACAGATAGGGCCTTTTCTTAAGTTATAAGTTAAGTACCATACTCAACCACGTCCCAACCATCAAATTTTGTTCATTTCATATAATTGTTAACACACAAAAAACAACTACACCACTTAGTCCGTTAACACTTAATCAGATATTGATGTTCATGAACTTGTAACTTAAAAAGTTTTACATTTACCAGGTACCAAATGTTTCTTTTTGACATACAGTGTCTTCTATAATTAAGTATAAGTTAAATATTACATGAACATTAAATTACAAAAGTTTTATTTTATTCACTCTATAACACTTTCACATATAAAATATATTAATTCCTATCCAACCAATAACAATAAATTTTGAAGAACCCAACTTCCCACATATGTCTAGTTTTCATTTTCCAGGTACCAAATGTTAAAGAAACATATATGGTCTTATATTAGAATCTCTATTTCACAACACTACTGGACACATGTATAGTTGGTTGCCTAACTATAACCACATAATTTTCTCACTCCAATTTCATCTCACATACATATTTTAAAACAACAACATTAATGATTGATTGGAGTATAACAGACCAGCATTCATATGTCTAATAGACCTGAAGAAAGCGTTCGATAAAGTAAAGCTTAAAGATATAATTCACCTTCTTTACGATAGAGAAATTCCACTAAATGTTATAAAAACAATAGAGAACATTTACCAGAACAACAATATGGAAGTCAGAATAGATGACCAGCTTACAGATCCAATAGATATGGGCAATGGAATAAGACAAGGAGACTCGCTTAGTCCAACGCTATTCAATCTAATCATGGATGAAATCATCAATACTATTAATAAAGAAAGAGGATACAAAATGGGGAACAAAGAAATCAAAATACTCTGCTATGCAGATGATGCGGCCCTAATTGCATCCAATGAAGACGATCTTATAAAAAATATACGTAATGCCCCATTCAAAACAAAAAATCCAATTAAATATAATGAAACTGATCGATTAATAAAAAAGAGAATAAAAGAAGCTAAGGAGAGAATGTTACATGAGCAGTGCCAAGAACTAGAAGAAATTGAGAAAAAATATGACTTTTTTAACATGCATAAAAGAATTAGAGAATTAACAGGAATGAGAAAAACACTTCAAACTAGGCAACTAAGAGATGAAAGTGGTGCACTTATAACAGATATAAACCAAAAAATGCAGAGATGGACAAAATATATAGCACAACTATTTGAAGACAAAGAAAGAACAGAAGCACCAAAAGAATTTAAGGATGATACTGGGCCTGACATTATACGAGAAGAAATTGAATATGCAATGAAACAAGCTAAAGATGGTAAGTCTCCCGGGCCTGATGAAGTTCCTATCGAATTACTTAAAATTGTGAATACTGAATCTATTGATCTTCTTTTGGATCTATTCAATACCATATATAGAACAGGTATAATACCTAAAGAATGGCTCCAATCAACATTCATACTGCTTCCCAAAAAAGCCAATGCAAAGGAGTGCAATGAACATCGCACCATAGCCTTAACGAGTCATGTCTTGAAATTGTTTTTAAAAGTAATTCACAACAGAATACATAAGAAATTAGATGAAGGCATAAGTAATACACAAATGGGATTTAGGAAAGGTCTGGGAACACGAGATGCACTGTTTGCAGTAAGTGTTCTTTCGCAGAGATGCTTAGATATTAATCAGGAAGTATATGCCTGTTTCATTGATTTTGAGAAGGCATTTGACAGAGTGCAGCATAATCGACTTAAAGAAATTTTATTAAATAAAAACATAGACAGTAGAGACATTAGAATTATCTGTAACCTCTATTGGAATCAAACAGCAAAAGTGAAAGTTGAAAACGAACTGACCAAGGATATCCAGATTCGCCGTGGGGTCCGCCAAGGGTGTATTTTATCACCCTTGTTATTCAATTTATACAGTGAAGCCATCTCAGAATTAGCGCTTGCTGAGATCAGTGAGGGCCTTATAATAAACGGTGAGCCACTTAATAACATAAGATATGCTGACGACACCGTCCTTTTGGCAGGAACACTAGAAGAACTGCAACACCTTGCTGAACAACTAAATATATATTGCAACGATTATGGACTAAAAATCAATTTGAAGAAAACCAAGTTCATGGTATTTACAAAAGCACAAAACATCAAAGTTAAGCTAGTACTAGATAATACAGAAATTGAACAAATATCTTCGTACAAATACCTTGGAGCATGGATCACAGAAGATACTGATCAGACAAAAGAAATAAGATGCCGCATTGAAATTGCGCGGTCAACTTTTAATAGAATGAGAAAACTTTTTTGTAATCGCGATATCAATATATCGCTCCGGATAAGAATGCTTCGATGTTATATTTTCTCTACCCTTTTGTATGGAGTTGAAGCTTGGACACTTAAAAAATCCAACATTAAAAACCTAGAAGCATTCGAAATGTGGTGTTACCGACGCATTTTGAAAATATCATGGATGGATCGCAAAACAAACGAACAAGTTCTCGAACAACTAGGAAAACAATGCGAAGTTTTAAATTCCATAAAGATCAGGAAATTGGAATACTTGGGGCACATCATGAGAGGTGAAAAGTACGAACTACTAAGGAATATAATGCAGGGTAAAATCAAAGGTAGAAGAAGCGTAGGAAGACGTAAAATCTCGTGGCTACGCAATCTCCGTGAGTGGTTTGGATGCAGTTCAATTGAACTATTCAGGCGAGTAACCAATAAAATTATAATTGCCAGAATGATTTCCAATCTCCGATAGGAGTGAAACTTGAAAAAGAAGAAGAAGACGATCTACAAAGACTAACCCATAGATTCAACACAAGGGCAAAGGACTTTAATATGGTGATCTCTACACAGAAAACTAAAACAATTGTAATCAGTAAAGAACCAATTAGATGTAAACTGGAAATCGACGGTATCAGCATTGAGCAAGTAATGGAGGCAAATTACCTAGGAATTACACTGTCTAGCTACGGAGATGTGGAGAAGGAAGTGAAAAATCAAGTACAAAAGGCTAATAAAATAGCAGGTTGTCTTAATAACACGATATGGCGCAATCCCCACATTAATACCGACGTGAAATCAAGAATCTACAAAGCAACAATAAGACCAATAATGACATACACTTCAGAGACAAGACCGGATACCTCCAAAACTCAGCAACTACTAGAAACAGCGGAGATGCGTTTACTGGAGAGAATTACAGGAAACACACTGAGGGATCGAATGAGGAGTGAAGAGATCAGAAGAAAATGCAATATACCAGAAATAAATGAGTGGACACTGAACAGAAAAAAGGAATGTGACAAATCACCAAAAGGTAGAAGAAGTATCGGGCGACCACGCAAAAGATGGAGTGATAACCTCCAATAGAGGCATTAATCGACATTGAACAAGCATTTTGCTTATAAAAAGGAAGAAGAAGAAGAAGGAGAAGAACATTGATGGTTGATACTGTTATAATATTTTATTTAACTTTTACAATTTTAAATAACGTTGGCTTCTGTCTTAAGTAGACATATACAGTTACACTGACTGCTCTGTTACGACTTTCGTCCTAACTTGTCAAGATTGTCATTTCAATCAGTTGCTTTCATAAAGTCCTCGTAGACACACCTGTCTCAGGACTAGCAACTTCACGTGGAGTCATATGTCGCCATGTTACCAAATCCAACGGTAACTTTAACATCTTAATAATTAATAAGAAATAATGTAAACTAAATTTAAATATATAATTTTTAACAGGTTTTTACCCACATATTTAGTGGCTACATTCATGTATACCTAGTACTTCTTCTTCTTTCGTTTTATGTCCTCCACCTCTTAGGTACGTGGCCAGCTCATGTGTATATTTTTATTTCAATTATAGAAGGGAATTCTCCCCACAGATATTCTAGAAATAACCATATCCCTTCAACTATTTTGGACAATTTATAGTGAATATTCTAAAATAATTCTATATGTCATTAATGATATAGATTTTTCTTGTTCCATCTAAGCTAGCTATGTAAGTTTTATCTATGTATAGGAATTTGGCATCTTGGACAGGACATCAGTGGTTAAAGGATAGGATTATAGGATAGATTGGGTATTTATTTATATTTTACTAACTTTAATTTTAATTTGGAAAATATTGATAAACTTACCAATCGTTTTCATGAAGTATTAACCACATTTTGCATTAATCTTGGTCAAAATTTAAATTTCATGTTCTTTTTAATTAAGTGGTTATACACTTTTTAGGACACTGATGATGGAATATGGATTCCGAAAACGTTTTGTGTAACATAGCCCGATTGGGTTTTTAAATACATACCTTTTATAAAGGATTTTTAATAAATTTTTTAATATATGGTATACAGCCAACTACAGGAACGTAGATTCCTTGTGGGTCTCTTTATTAGTGTAAAAAGGGTTAAGTAACATTTGATATTTACGAAATGTGATTAGTAAAGCCAAAAAGTTTGACCCTTATATAGAGAATGAAATAAAAATAAAACAAAAAGTAATAGCTATATATTATATAACTATATATCAAAATTAATTTAATATTAAAATTACTTTATTTTTATGCGAATAATAAGAAAATCAATATAAAAATCTTTTTTTAATACATAAATATTATGTTAAAAAACTGGTCTTCCTTATTTCTTCTGTAGTTACTCTCGACGTATTACTGTCCGCTAATAAAAATTTTTTTAGTGCACTCGTATCTTTGATGTTACTACATTCTTCATCAAAAGTTTCCTTATCGATTAAAATCTCACTAAGGACTTCTTTAAATTTTGACAGAGGACAGCTCAATGTACATCCATTAACACTAATTTGTTTTACGTTGTCTCCATCTTTACTAAAAACCTTTACCACATGCTGCCAGCTTTCAAAATGGAGCTCAATATAAACTGTACTTGCAAAATTTGGTGGATAAGGGGGTCTGAAGGATCCAAAAGAGTTTAAGAGTGACGCGATGTTGCTGTCATGACCACTGTAAAATTGATATTTTTCACAAGAACTTGGATCGACTGCCATTTGTTCGAAGTATTCTACTACTTTGTTCAGAAATCTTCCCTTAACTAAAACATAGATAGTTTTATAATATCTTTAATAGATTTATTGTAAATATATTTTTACCACTATTGTTAGGTTTGGTGTAGGGAAAGGATGAGGTAGCTGGTTCGATGATTTAAGAGTAAATATTTGAAAAATTATAATCTCACCTTCCTACATTTGGTAGATAAATAATAAATAAACCTCGAAGGACCAGCGACCATATGTCGCAAAATTGCGGATTATTAATTGTGTGTGAGTAGTAAAATAGAAAATGAAATAATTAAAATAAGAATTAAGCTAGAAATATTTTTATTATATTATTTACAGAAATAAATAAAATAGAAATAGCAGAATCGCCAACAAATCACCCTTTTATAATAATAAAACGTAAATGTTCATATACAATGATAGATAGATAGATAGAACGTTTATTGACCACTTTACATAAAGTTTGAAGTCCGTATAAAAAATACAATAAAAGATATCATAATGTAAACTTAAAATTAACTTAACCATATTGGCTAAAGTAATATACATATGTAAGTATTAGCAGAAGAATTAAAATTAAAAATTTAAGATAAAAAATCTCTAACCAAAACAAACATAAACTGTCACATAAAAAATCTTTGAAATATGGAAGTAACAAAAATGTACAAATAATTAAGAATATTCCCGAATCGATGACTTAATAAACTAATACATAAAACTTAGTACATTTTAATAGCAATAATACAATGTGATATGTAGATAGTAAATCTACAGTATTCTGACCAAACTGGGTACACGTTATAAAGGTGTATTGAGGTATTCTGTCTTTGAGTAAAAACAATATGTTAAAAAATGCTTTCTGATCCTATTTTTAAACAGTGGTGTAGACAGAATTTTTATTTCGTTAGGCAGATAGTTATACAAGTGAATATCAATTGAATTCTTTGTGCTCTTTGATAGTCTGAATCGTTGTGACCTAATTAAATCCCTCGATCTTGTTAGATGATCATGTAATTGGGAGTTTATAGTAAACTTATTTTTATTATCGTGAATTTCCCACAGTGTTGCATACATATAAAGCGAAGGTAGAGGCATATACCCATGTTCAAAAATAATGATTTACAATGATCCCTTAAATCCGCTCCAGCAAGTATCCTCACCACCTTCTTTTGTAATTTAAATATTCTGTCGGCATGACCAGAGTTGCCCCAAACAGTTAAAAATGTTATTAAACACACAACTGTTTATTTTAATTTATAGAACAAGAAAGTTTATATGTAGTTTATTGAAAATCCGACAACCCTGTAATTTTTCTGACCAGCATTTATGAAATGTTGGCACAAAATTGTAGATTCTTATTCTGTATAAAAGAATAATTTCAGGTACTTACATATTCGATGCACAGACACTGAGTTTAATTTAATTAATTATTTAGTAAAATGTGTTAATTGAAAACTGCTTCTATTTGAGAAGCGTGAAAACAATAACTTGCTTCTATTTGAGAAGCTGAGAAATGATTTGACTTACGTCCTTCTATTTGCGAAGGCAAAAACGAAGTGGTGTTAAGGGTAGTTGGGTTTGAATAGTTTAATGTAAAAATCTGACAGGCGCAGAAGATACGAAACAGCACGAAGAAGGAATGTCGTGCTGATCGCATAGACTTTAATTTAATTTAGTAAGATAGTTTAGTGGAATAATCGAATTATAATTTTATTATACAAACTATTGTTGAAAATATAATTAATTTTCTACATACTGGGGGCAGGGGAAATTTAGAATATTCTGGCGATTCAGTAATGGGAAAAGATACTTGCATACATTCAGGTACTTCATTTAGAAGTTCAAAAGAATCAATGGAATCAAAATCATTGATTTGAGATAAAAAGGGAGGACCATGAAAACAGAATTTACGAACATCAGATGAAAAATTTGAAAACATCAGTGAAATGTTTATTTAACACCCACCCCAAGTTCATAGGTAGGTAGGTAGAAAAATCTATTCTATAAGATCTTTTGGCAAGACTCATAAATCAGTCACTAAATTCCGATAAAGTTAATGTTTTTAACACAAACACAACAGATGTTATAGATGAATCGGTACTCGGTACTTAGGTACCACTTAGGGTTGATGAAGTTTCAACAGGGTTGCCGGTTCGCAAAAATTTCTGGAAACCGAACACTCACGATAACGTTTTAAAATTTTATTTTGTCCGTGGTAAAATCACTGTCGCTGGTTTGAGTTTTTAAAAAAAGATTGTTCAGGTGCACTCGATGGTGATTAGTGGCATAAGTAAAGAAATTAATAGGACAATTGTAAGTAAAAAGTGATAGATAAAAGAATTATAATAAAAATGTCATTTTGACAAATAGCTTCTTATTGAAGAGTAATAGAATTATTATTAGAAGAATGTCATTTTAACAAAAATCCGGCTCGATAAAGACCAAAAAAATGTAGGGAAAGGATGAGGTAGCTGGTTTGATGATTTAAGAGTAAATATTTAAAAAATTATAATTTCACCTTCCTACATTTGGTAGATAAATAATAAATAAAACTCGAAGGACCAGCGATCAAATGCCGCAAAATTGCGGATTGTTAATTGTGTGTGAGTAGTAAAATAGAAAATGAAATAATTAAAATAAGAACTAAGCTAGAAATATTTTTCCACGAGGAAACTAAGTTCCTGTACCTGGCTGTATACCATATATCACAAAAAAATTTGCTTAAAATCCTTTATAAAAGGTATATAAAAATGCCTCAAACGGGCTATCACAAACACATTGCAAAACGTTTTCGGATTAAACAATCCATCATCAGTGCAAACGGTTGTACATGCTAGTAGCCACCAAAATATATGGGTAAAAACCCTTTAAATGTTTTAAATTTGAAGTTGTTTTACATTATTAGTATTTATAATTTGTGATGGTTAACTTAACCATCCAACGGTAACTTAACCATCACAAATTATAAATACTAATAATGTAAAACAACTTCAAATTTAAAACATTTAAAGGGTTTTTACCCATATATTTTGGTGGCTACTAGCATGTACAACCGTTTGCACTGATGATGGATTGTTTAATCCGAAAACGTTTTGCAATGTGTTTGTGATAGCCCGTTTGAGGCATTTTTATATACCTTTTATAAACGATTTTAAACAAAATTTTTTTAGAAATATTTTTATTATATTATTTACAGAAATAAATAAAATAGAAATAGCAGAATCGCCAACTTGAAAATCCGGCAACCCTGTAATTTTTCGGACCGGCATTTATGAAATGTTGGCACAAAATTGTAGATTCTCTTCTGTATAAAAGAATAATTTCAGGTACTTACATATTCAATGCACAGACACTGAGTTTAATTTAATTATTAATTTAGTAAAATGTTTTAATTGAAAACTGCTTCTATTTGAGAAGCGTGAAAACAATAACTTGCTTCTATTTGAGAAGCTGAGAAATGATTTGACTTACGTCCTTTTATTTGAGAAGGCAAAAACGAAGTGGCGTTAAGGGTAGTTGGGTTTGAATAGTTTAATGTAAAATCTGACAGGCGCAGAAGATACGAAACAGCACGAAGAAGGAATGTCGTGCTGATCGCATAGACTTTAATTTAATTTAGTAAGATAGTTTAGTGGAATAATAGAATTATTATTTTATTTATTAAACAAACTATTGTAGAAAATATAATTAATTTTCTACATTTGGTGTGTAATAATTATCACATAAAAAATAATATTTTAAATTTTCGGATGGCTAATCTAGCTGTTAATGGATTCCTGACAAATTCCTAATTTTCAAGAGATGAACATGAATTACAGCCTAAAGCGTAAATTGATAGTACACTATAGTCATCGAAAAAAGAATTTCATGTTATCATTTGAATAATACTAACGTCATAATAAGGAAACTTAATCAACAAAATAAATACAAATCACTTTGTAATAATATTGGACGAAAACATAGATAACACAATTTCTGGCAATACAACAAAGATAACACACAGCATATCACAAATGCCACAATTGTAGAAGGAATAAAAGTTTTCGGTTATGTGAAAGTAGGATAAACAGTTTAACCAAGAAATGTTGTCTGGCATCTAAGATATCAAACAACTGCATTTGCATTTATATATCGTAGTAAACTAATTAGATCATAGGACAATAAGCCTAATGAGCCATCTGCTGAAGCTGTTTTTAAAAGTCATCCACAAAAGAATTTACCGAAAATGCGAGGAACAAATTGCGCCCAATCAGTTTGGATTTGTGAACGCCGTTGGTACGAGGGAAGCTTTATTTAGCGTGCAGGTATTGTTTCAGAAATGTAGAAATGTCAGCTGTGATGTTTTTGCATGCCTGATTGACTACAAGAAGGCTTTCGATAGAGTCAGACATGAACAAATGATAGAAGTGCTGAAGAGGACAGGGATTGATGGAAAGATACTTAAAAATTATATCTAATCTGTATTGGAATCAATCAGCGTACTCTCGAATAGATGGAGAATATACAGATCAGGTCAAAATCTTAAGGGGAGTGAGACAGGGGTGCATAATTTCACCACTGATATTCAATCTGTACTCGGAGCACATTTTTGAAGAGGCCCTAAAAGATATTGATGAAGGCATCTCAATAAATAGAGTCAAGCTCAATAACCTGCGGTATGCAGATGATACAATAGTGTTTTCCAATACCATAGAAGGGCTGCAAAACTTAATGAACAGAATAACGGAAACAAGTAGAACATATGGACTGGATATAAACACCACAAAACCAAGCTAATGATCATCAGCAAGGAAAACATAACTGGAGCAAATCTGTATGTGAACCAAATGAGAATTGAACGTGTCTCACAATACAATTACTTGAGAACTATAATCAATGAGTTGAAGAACAATATGCAAGAGATTAAATAATGAACTTTGAAAATAAGTCTATTATCGAGCACAAGTTAATTAAATCTAGCCCAAGTACTTTCGCTTAAAATAGCATCTTCAGGGCATTTCGTCAAAATAAGAACTATCCGGCAAGCGTAAAATGT